TTATATCCATACCATCTTCAGCTAGTAGTAAGGATGACAAAGTTGCAAGAGCATCTACAAAATGATTCTGAGTTCTTGGGAGATAATCGAATGTTACTTCTTTAAAGATTTCTATCATCTCTTCTAAGTATATGTGATAAGGAATTAGCTTGACATCTCGAGTTTGCCATTCACCAGTTGTTTGCAATATGATGAGCATAGAATTTCCATATACTTGCAACCTTTTTACCTTCATTGAAAGGGCTAATTGTAAGCCAAGAATGTATTCTTCGTATTCAGCGACGTTATTGGTGCATGGAAATACCAATTTCGCAGATACTGGATAGTGTTAGCCTTCTGGGGAGATCAGTATTGCCCCAGTTCCTGATCAAATAAGTTGGTTGCACCATCAAAATACATGGTCCATTTATCGTCGACCAGTGTTAATATATGATTATCAAGTTGTTCTTTAGGATTGGCAATATTCTGCAAAATTTTTGCCAACATGTCTGCTATTGCTCGTCTTTTGACTGACTTTTGGGATGAACTTTTGATGTCGAATTCAGATAACAAGACTTGCCACTTTGCTAATTTCCCGACCAAGGAGGATTTCTTAAGAAGGTACTTGATCGGATCATTCTCAGTCACTAGCAAAATTTGGTGATTAAGGGTGTACTGTCTTAATCTGTGTAATACCCAAATCAATGCAATGCACGTCTTCTCGACTGCCGGGTAATTTATTTATGATGTTGTGAACTTCTTGCTCAAGTAATAAATGGCTTGTTCTTTACTATCATTTGGTCTTCTTTGTACAAGCACCGCTCCTAACGACTCATAGTGAATCGTCAAATATAAGATCAGCGGAACTCCAGGGATTGGTGGTACCAACATTGGTGGGCATACCAGATATTCTTTGATCTTATCAAAGGCTTGTTGACATTCCGCATCCCACTTCACTTTGGCATTTTTCTTCAACAATTTGAAGAATGGTTTAGCAGTCTCAGAAAGCTGATATATGAAACGGGCAATGTAATTTAATCGCCCCAACAAGCTTCTCACTTCTTTTACCATAGAAGGAGTCTTTAAGTCGTATATTGCCTTGATTTTGGAAGGATCTATTTCGATGCCTCTGCTACTGACCACAAATCCTAATAGTTTGCCAGATTTTGCCCCAAATATACACTTGTTGGGGTTCAGTCGCAACTTGTACTTTCTAAGTCTTTCGAACAATCTGCGAAGCACCTCAACATGATCTTCTCCTTGTTTGGATTTTGCAATCATGTCGTCCACATATACCTCAATTTCTTTGTGCATCATGTCATGGAACAAAGTTACCATTGCCCTTTGATATGTGGCACCAGCATTTTTCAAACCGAAAGGCATGACCTTGTAACAAAATGTGCCCCATGGTGTTATGAATGACGTTTTCGCCTTATCCTCTTTCTTCATGAGGATTTGATTATATCCTGAAAAACCATCCATGAATGAAAATATTTCGAATCCAGCAGTGCTATCCACTAATACATCGATATGTGGAAGCGGGAAATCATCCTTAGGGCTTGCTTTATTTAGGTCGCGATAATCAACGCACACCCGTACTCGACCATCTTTCTTCATTACCGGTACTATGTTGGCAACCCATTCTGGATATGGTACTACTTCAATGAAACCGATTTTGAGCAATTTCATCACTTCTTCTTCTATTTTCTTTGCTAAGTCCGGCCTCGTTCGCCTCAGTTTTTGCTTCTTTGATGGAATACTTGGATCAATTGGCAAGGCATGTTCAACTATGCTTGGATCAAGGCCTGGCATGTCAGCATAAGACCATGCGAATATATTTTGATATTCTTTGAGCAAATCTGTGATTCTTTCTGCTTCTACCGAGGAAAGACTTTCTCCAATCTTAACTTCTTTGGGATTTTCTTTGTTGCCCATATTAATAGTGATTGTTTTCTCTATTGTAAGTGGTTTCGATTCTTCATGACGAATCCATTCCTCATTCTCGTTATCCTCTTCAATATCGCAAGTAATCTCCTCGGAAAGATTTGGGCCACATATGAACCTATTATGGATATGCGAATGCGAATGCCTGACATGTAACAAACATGATTAGTAATTGCATACAAAGTAAGTAACGCACGTGGTCCTATGAAAAACCTTTTAGAAATTCATTTCGAAAGAACATAAAGACAGAGCTAGTCCTCATATCATTAGACTTTCTTGCTCTTAAAATCATTTTGGCAATGAGGAACAATATAGAAACCAAAAACCTCAAGCCTCACCAATGAGGATAATGTTCATCATAGGTTTGGTTTTGTTTCTACATGTCCTTAACAAAATATTTGATCACTTTTATTAAATTGAAAAACGTGATTACATCTATATCAACAGGAATGCAAATTGCAACTGAACTAAAATTGCAAATGAAATCACAAGAAATTTGAAATTGTAATCAACAAAATGTAATGGAAAAAGCTTGTAACAAAAGTTCAAGAGAATCTTCCTACTCCAGTACATAGGTATCTTTTGCCTTAGTTATGATAACGTTGATAGTATTCTCTTCGAATAAACTTGGCAGAACAGATTCTTCCTCTGCATGTAAGTCTTCTTCTTGAAGTAATTTGGAAGGTCCAGGAAAAGTTTCCTTGACGTGGATCTGATGATAGGGAAGCTCTTTAGCTTTACCCTTCCTTATGGATGGATTAATGAGGCGATCACATCGGCCTCTATAACCTCCATGGTTCCTTTGACCTCGGCCTTGGCCTCCATGGTGATCCTTAGAGTTATCTGGAATATAACCTACTCCGTGCTTCATTCTTGTGGCAAGAGGAGTGATAGGTTCCTTGATTCCTTGGGATTTCGATCTAAGACCATTATCGGGAGTGAATCCATACTGGCATAACACCTTTCCAGATATAATGGATGATGTTGAGAACTCCGGGGGTTTTATGATGCAACCGGCAGGAATTTGCACCATTGAGATCATTTCAAAGGAATGATAACTTGGTTCTTCTTTCACTTCGGGTTCGACATACGGTATTGCACTCTCCTTATAAGTGGCGAAATCCATCTCCCCGTGTACGGTGATCATCTTGCCATTAATGACGAACCTGACCTTTTGATGGAGACTTGAAGGAATGGCACCAGCCATATAAATCCAAGGTCTTCCGAGTAATAAGTTGAAAGTCCTCGGAATATCCACTACTTGGAAGTCAATTAGAAAAGGTACAGGGCCTATGTTTACCTTGAGCTCGATATCGCCAATAACGTCTTTCTTCATTCCCTCAAACGAGCGCACGGTGACTTAGAAGGTTTGATGAGCTCTTCGCTAATCCCCAAGCGATGCAGTGTGCTTAGTGGACACAAATTAAGTGCGGAACCATTATCGATCAGCACCCGTGACACCTCTTTGCCCCGGCATTTGACAGCAATATATAAAGCCTTATTATGGGAATGCCCGTCAATTGGGAAATCTTCATCGGAGAAGGCAATTTGATCTTTCAGAAGAATAGTGCCAACAAAGTCTTCCAACTGTACTTCATTAATTGTCTCTGGGACGTGCACTTCATTAAGAAGCTTCATAAGCACTATTTTGTGGCTTTCTGAAGTCTTGAAGAGGTCCAATAGAGAATGTCACGCCCCGAACTCTCACGGGCTCGCGACATCCCTCGATGGTCGATCATTGAATGCGATGTCCCAGGCATGTTGCCGACCCAACCCAAACATCAGAGATTAGGCATGCGCGGAAACAAAATGAAACAACCCAGACAATTAATAATGACGAAGGGGTAGCATTAGCACAAATAAATACTTGCAATTCATACACTTGGCAGATACATACAACGTTCACAAAAGACAACTGCCAGCTAGGTCACAAACGACAGAACCACTTTCATCAAAAGAGACCATGGTTCGTAAACTTAACTACTCTACAAAAAGGGGCACTCAAAATACAGGGTACTGGACCCGTTCTCGATCCCCGAGATTATCCTAGCAGCGTCTCCAATCAATCACGATCGCGGATTTGAAATGGTTTGGTTAAACAACCATGAGAACACTTCTCAATAAGCAGACACCCTAAATCCCACGTAGGCCAATGCGTACCCAGACGAGTCTAAACATGCAATCTAACTATCCACATAACAAATTTCACATAATGTACTTTCCTTGCCTCAAATCACACGCCAACTCTGCACATTAGTCAAATCATGCTAATTCAATAATATCCCGAGAATATAACACAATCACTCGAGCGCCATCCATACTTGCACTCAACCAATCTAACCAAACATCCACATGTACATCCAACCAATTCAACCAAACATCCACATATTCATCCAGCCAATACAACCACTCACATTACGCACACGTGTCCAACCAACTATCCACGACCCGCGTCAACGCGCCTCAGGTCCATTCTCACAGCCCGCGTAAACACGCCTCAGGCCCAATCACACGACCCGCGTAAACACGCCTCAGGTCCATTCTCACAGCCCGCGTAAACACTCCTCAGGCTCAACATCTTCCAAAGACTCGCGTAAACACTCCTCGGGCTCAACATCTTCCAAAGACTCGCGTAAACACGCCTCAGGTCTAACCTTACTTTCACAGCCAGCGTAAACACGCCTTACGCTGGCAGCCCTCTGATCAATCCGGGCTTTGTCCAATGACCCGCGTAAACACGCCTCAGGTCCAACTTTCCTTCCAAGCACACAAGCCACAACACAATTCGACATTCTCACAAGTCGTACAATTCAAATTCAAGTCATGCTCACCACATGATCTCACCAACCCGACATTCAAGTCGGCCACAATCAAATATCAATTCCACTCACAAACGCCACGACAACCAGCTAATCCATCTCAATCAGCCACTCGATATATATAACAATATAATCCACTACGAGCCACATCCAACTAGCAATTCTACCCCAAGCTCAATCCCTAAACCGGTACTAATTAATCCCTAGACAAGTCTAATAATACCCAATGTACTAGGTAGGGTTTAGGGAGTCACTTACCTAGGTTCCAAGCCAATGGGGACCAAGGATGGGCAAAATGACCGATCGGATCGGCGTCGGGCTCGGTATGGCGGTCGGCACAACGGTCGGCCACTGGCAAAATTCTCTGCGCGGCCCACGGCCACGGGCTCGGCGCTCGGCACAGTCCTCGGGCACGGGCTCGGCGCTCGACACGGTCCTCGGCACGGCCCTCGTCCACGGGTAAAATGCTCGGCCGCGGCAGGGCAAGGCGACGGGCACAGCGACGGGCACGACGGGCGACGGGCCACGGCCGGGCGAGCGGCCAGGTGAGTAGGCTTTCGGTAACGACCGGGGCATCGGCTCAGCTGGGTGGTTGGGCGGACGGAGACGCGGCTGGAGAGTAGCTGGCGCGCGGCCGGGCTGGTGAGCGAGCTGGCCGGCAAGCGGGGCTGGTGAGCGAGCTGGCCGGCAAGCGAGCTGGGCGGGGAGCGGCCGGCGAGCTGCTGGGCGAGTCGGCGACGACGGCAACGGCGAGCTGAGCGGCGGAGACGGTGGCTGACGGGAATTGGGTTGGTGGTGGTGGGAGCAGCGGCGGCCGGCGCAGCGACTGGGCGGTGCTAGGCCGCGGAGGGCGCGGCGGCGAGCTACTGCTTGCACAAGAAGCAGTCGGCCAGGGGGCAAGGGAGCGGTTGGACAGACGATGACAACAACGGCGAAGGGCGGCCGAACGTCAGGCCGGACGCACGAGCGCAGAGGTGGGAGGTCGGTGAGGCAAAACAGAGGGAGGGGGAAGTGTGCGGCCGTCGGGGTGGTGGTGGTATGGTAGGGGTGACGGCAGCGGTCGGGGGCAGCGACGGGCGAGCCTGGGTAGACGACGCGCGGTGGCGGGGCTAGCAATGGCTGGGTGAAGGGCGGCGTCTGCTTGTTCGGGCGGAGACGACACCTGCGTGCAGCTCGGGTGGGCCGGCAAGGGAGGCCGAGCGGCGACGGGCGGTGGCACGGCTCGACTAGGGCGGAGCCGGGGTGGTACGGCGGCAGGACGACAAGCGGCGACCGTAGGTCTGGTCAGAGGGCAGTAAGAAGAAGTAGAGCGAGAAGCCAGAAGCATTCGCGGCGGGAGGAGGAAGGAGGAAGAAGGAGAAGGAAAGAGGAAGAAAGAAAGAAGAAAAGAAAAGAAAAGAAGGAGAAGAGAAAAGGGATGGCAGGTCTGCATGGCAGGGGCATGGGCGGATGGGACGCATGCAAGGGGAACGTGCGGGCAGCTAGGGCGCGCAGATGAGACAGAGTGAGAGAGAGAGAGAGAGAGAGAGAGAGAGAGAGAGAGAGAGAGAGAGAGAGAGTCTACGGTAATGATCGCGATCCAATGGTCTACATTTGAATCTGAAAACGATCTAACGGCTCACAAAAATCCTAATTATAAACTAAGGAAAAACCAACGGACACTAAATAAAATAAACCCAGAGGGAGGTTTACTAGTCAAAATCCGAACCCGGTCCAAATTTTCACTTTCCGACTAATCTGGGCAATTTCGAGGCTGACCACAATAATATCGACACCGTCCAATTTAATTCGTCACGAAACTATGAAAAATTCGATACCAAAGTTCGTGCTCTAAATAACGGCCAAATTTGATCGAATGCGATTCTAGCAAAATCTCAATTTTAAAAACAATAATCGAGAGTGATGAGTTCCCGGGCGAGATTTTACTATAAGCACACTGACAAATTACACGTTTTATAAATCCCAAAAATGGGTCGAAATTCAGAATGTCACAACTCTTCCCCCTTATAAAAATTTCGTCCTCGAAATTTACAATTCATCCCAATTACTCAAACAAATGGGGGTATTGCTGTCGCATCAACTCTTCACTTTCCCATGTCGCACCTTCGGTTCCATGATGTTCCCAAATCACCTTCACCATTGGAATTGTCTTGTTTCGCAACACTCGTTCCATTCTGTCATCAATCCTGACCGGCCTTTCCACGTACGACACTCTGTCGTCTACTTCTATTTATTGATAATTCAGCACGTGGGTCGGATCCGGTTCATATTTCCTTAGCATAGACACGTGGAATATGTTGTGAACTTGGGACAAATTTGGCGGTAGTGCGAGACGGTAGGCTAGAGTACCGATTCACTCTAAAACCTCGAATGGACCCACATACCTCGGGCTCAACTTTCCTTTCTTGCCAAACCGTGATAATCCTATCATCGGTGACACTTTGAGGAAAATGTGGTCCCCCACTTGAAATTCCAAGGGCCTACGTCTCCGGTCTGCATAATTCTTTTGGCGACTTTGAGCGGTCATCAGTCTATCCCAAATCACCTTGACTGTCTCAACCGACTGTTGCACTAACTCTGGACCCGTGATGCTCCTCTCACCAACTTCATCCCAACACACCGGCGTTCTACAAGCTCTGCCATACAACGCTTCAAAAGGTGCCATTATGATACTCTGCTGATAGCTATTATTATAGGCAAACTCAACCAAAGGCAACTGTTCTTCCCAACTGCCCCTAAAATCTAATACACATGCTCGTAGCATATCTTCCAAAGTCTGAATCGTCTTCTCAGACTGGCCATCCATTTGCGGATGATAGGCCGTGCTAAACTGTAACTTTGTTCCTAATGCCGTGTGAAGACTTTTCCAAAAAACGGCAGTAAACTTGGGATCACGGTCCGAGGTGATCGTCACTGGCACTCCATGTAGACGAACTATCTGTTGCACGTACAGCTCTGCGTACCTTTCTAACGCAAAGTCCTTTCGTACTGCTAGAAGATATGCCGACTTTGTCAATCGATCTACTATAACCCAAATTGAATCATGGCCCCTCTGGCCTCTCGGTAATCCCATAACAAAGTCCATCGTGATGTGTTCCCATTTTCATTCGGGAATTTCCAATGGCTGCAATAATCCTCCCGACTTACAATGTTGCGCCTTCACTTGTTGGCATGTTAGACACTTAGCCTCGTGCTTGGCCACATCCACTTTCATGCCGTTCCACCAATAATGTTGTTGCAGGTTCTGATATATTTTCGTACTACCCAGGTGAATACTATAATTGCTACGATGAGCTTCTGTCAAAATTTCCTCTTTTAGTTCCGCATCATCGGGCACACACAACCGTCCACGAAACTTCATAATCCCATCCTTAGATACCTGAAAGTCCGGTTTCCTTTTTGTGACGTCCAATTCCAGAATCTTCTGGATCTCTGGGTCCGTCAACTGTAAAGCCTTAATCTTAGTTTGGATCTCCGGTTCAATCCTCAATGCGGCAAGTAGACTTGAAACATGGCTCACTTCAAACTTAAACTCCGAATCCCGGACTCCCTCCAACAAGGTCCATTCCTTGACCATCATATGCACTATGCTCGACTTCCGACTTAGTGCATCCGCTACCTTATTAGCCTTTCTAGGGTGATACAAAATATCGCAGTTGTAGTCCTTAAGGAGTTCCATCCAACGACGCTGTCTCACATTAAGTTCTTTTTGGGAAAACAAATATCTTAGGCTTTGGTGGTCCTTATAAATCTGAAACTTCTCCCCATACAAGTAGTGCCTCTAAATCTTAAGGGCGAAAATGATCGCGGCCAATTCCAAGTCATGTGTTGGGTAATTCATCTCATGCGGTCTCAACTGTCGCGATGCGTAAGCCACCACTCTTCCATATTGCATCAACACGCATCTGAGTCCTCTTAGCGATGCGTCACTGTAGATCTCATAACCTCCCGGTCCTGACGGAATTGTCAATACTGGCGCGGTCGTCAACCTCTGCTTTAACTCCTAAAAACTCCTTTCGTACTTATCCGTCCATTCAAACCTCATTTCCTTCTTTAGTAACCGCGTCAGCGGCATTGCCAATGCTGAAAATCTTTCCACGAAACATCGGTAATAACCCGCTAAACCCAAGAAACTCCGAACCTCGGTTACCGTTGTCAGCCTCGGCCAATTCATGACAGCTTCAATCTTTGTCGGGTCCACTGCAATTCCTTCTCCGGATATCACATGTCCTAAAAATGCCACTCGACGAAGCCAAAACTCGCACTTACTGAACTTAGGGTAGAGTGCATGTTCCCTTAAAGTCCGTAGAACCTTTTCCAAATGTAACTCATGCTCAGCGGGACTCTTCGAGTATACCAGGATATCATCTATAAACACAATTACAAACTGATCCAGAAATTTCTTGAACACCCGATTCATTAAATCCATAAAGGCAGCAGGGGTGTTAGTTAATCCAAACGGCATCACCGTAAACTCATAGTGCCCATATCTCGTCCTGAATGCCGTCTTCGGCACATCCTCTTTCTTAATCCTCAATTGGTGATAGCCAGTCCTCAAGTCGATCTTTGAAAATATCGACGCCCCCTGTAACTGATCAAATAGGTCATCTATCCTTGGCAACGGGTACTTATTCTTAATGGTCATCTGATTCAGCTGTCTGTAATCAATGTACAACCTCAACGACCTATCCTTCTTCCTCACGAATAATACTGGTGCTCCCCATAGAGACGCACTCGGACGAATAAAACCTTTATTCAATAATTCCTGCATTTGGACATTTAATTCATTCAGTTCTGACAGCGACATTCTGTAGGGTGCTTTTGAGATCGGTTCTGTACCAGGGGCCAACTCAATTACAAACTCCACTTCCCTATCAGGTGGCAATCTCGGCAATTCCTGAGGAAAGACATCGGGGAAATCGCTCACCACGGCTATATCCTCTAGCCTCGGCTCTTCAGCCGTTGAATCAACTACAGTAGCTTGAAATCCTTGACACCCGGCATCCAACAGCTTAGTTACCTCGAGCGACGAAATCCAAGGGATCGAGTTTCCTCCTCGGTTTCCCACAAACTCGAATCTAGGATGTCCAACCGGATTAAATTGGATCACCCTATTACTACAGTCCATTACGGCCTTTTTCTTAACAAGCCAGTTCATACCAACAATCACATCAAAATCATGCATAGCTAAGGCCATCAAATCTATCCTTTCTTCCCTATCACCAATCATTATCTTACAATCAGGGCATCCAAACGTAATCAGCACTTTATCATTCAACGGAGTAGTAACACACTGCATAACTTCAAGCGATTTCGGCTCAATCCCAGATAATTCAATAAACTGCTTAGATATGAACAAATGCGACGCCCCCGGATCAAATAAAGTATATGCAACATGATCACAGAGAGAGACCGTACCTGTGACCACGCCAGGCGCGTCCTTAGCTTCCCTCCTTGCCATTGCATATACTCGCCCTTGGGCCGGCGGCTTATTCTGATTAGCCGGCTGGATGACTCCAAACTGATTTCCATTCCGGGACGGCGGTGGCGGCAGCACTGGCGGCCTAGCCTGTTTGTTGTTGGGGCAGTTCCTGATCTAATGGCCCCTTCCACCACATTTAAAACACGCTCCGCCTCTATTCAGGCAAGGTCCATTACCATGTCTCTCTCCACGCAACCGACATGGGCCGTTTTGATAACGATTCGACTTCCCGAAATTCTTCCTAACGGGAGGGACAAAGCGACTATTTCCCACCATGGGCCCCTTCCCGAAGTGGCGGTTGTCCCTAGCCGGGGCATACCGCGATCCCGAAGCGGCAGCCCGCTCGATCATATCTCGCTCAATTGCCTAAGCCCGATCATATATCTCATTATAGCCCCTCAAGTTCAATGATATCATTTGGCTGCGGAGGTCCGGCTTCAGCACACCTTGAAACCTCCGGGCTTTGTCCAAGGGGTCCTCTACCATCCTTGGGGCAAACTTTGATAGTCTTGCAAACTCGGCCTCATACTAGTCCACCGACATCTGACCCTGGCGAAGTCTCATAAATTCTGCCAACTTCTGCTCTTGGGCACTTTCCGAGAAATACTTACCAATGAAGGTCTCGGTAAAAATAGTCTAAGTTGGGGCAGTACCAGCGGGGAACACTTGACTTCTGGTGGCTCTCCACCAATCGCTTGCATTAACCTGAAGCTGGTAGACTACCAGGGTTACTTTCTCCTCTTCAGTGCACCCCAGCACTTCGAAAGCTTTCTCTAGCTCTTCCACCCATCGAGGTGCAGCCTCCATATCACCTCTCCCATCAAACCTTGGGGGTTTCAACTTCAGAAACTGCTCAATCAGCTTAGACATCGGCCTATTTACATTTACTTGACCTTGACCTGGGTTCCCAGCATTCCCATTATTCCCATGGTTTCCGTTATTTCCATTGGCCCCATTGGCAGCGGCAACAACGGCCTCAGCAGCAGCAGCGACAGTGGCATTTCGCTCTTCGGTCTGTCTACCCATTAAAATTCCCACTTCCTGAAGTACCGTCAGAATTCCATCCACTCTAGGATCCATTGCAACTCCAGCTTGCGGGGCAACGCGACCTCGACCTCGACCTCGACCTCTACCTCTTCCATGGCCACTCATCCTCACTGGTTTCTCACACCCACCTACCTGCTATAATTCTACACAGGAATTAGAGACCTAGGCCAACTATACCAGTCTAAAGCCCTAGGCAGTGAATCACACAACAATTCACTAAACAGGTAGTCAATCACAACCAACACTCGATCACAACCAACAGGGTTCGCATACTTACATCAAGTCCTAACGCACATGCACTTCACATGTTAGTGCAAAACATCACTCAGCAATCACAATCAAACAGTCTGGGGTACGCATGGCACACAAGTCTCCCTAACTGGTTACCGCAAAGTCATCGCTCCTTATCACTCCAGGCTTCGACCAACTTGGATCGAGCTGACCTCGCTCTGATACCAAATCAACGGGGATGTCACGCCCCGAACTCTCACGGGCTCGCGACATCCCTCGATGGTCGATCATTGAATGTGACGTCCTAGGCATGTCGCCGACCCAACCCAAACATCAGAGATTAGGCACGCGCGGAAACAAAATGAAACAACCCAGACAATTAATAATGACGAAGGGGTAGCAATAGCACAAATCAATACTTGCAATTCATACACTTGGCAGATACATACAACGTTCACAAAAGACAACTGCCAGCTAGGCCACAAATGACAGAACCACTTTCATCAAAAGAGACCGTGGTTCGTAAACTTAACTACTCTTCATAAAGGGGCACTCAAAATATAGGGTACTTGACCCGTCCTCGATCCCCGAGATTATCCTTGCAACGTCTCCAATCAATCACGGTCGCGGATCTGAAATGGTTTGGTTAAACAACTATGAGAACACTTCTCAATAAGCAGACACCTCAAACCCCACATAGGCTAATGCGTACCCAGACGAGTCTAAACATGCAATCTAACTATCCACATAACAAATTTCACATAATGTACTTACCTTGCCTCAAATCACACGCCAACTCTGCACATTAGTCAAATCATGGTAATTCAATAATATCCCGAGAATATAACACAATCACTCGAGCGCCATCCACACTTGCACTCAACCAATCCAACCAAACATCCACACGTACATTCAACCAATTCAACCAAACATCCACATATTCATCCAGCCAATCCAACCCCTCATATTACGCACACGTGTCCAACCAATTATCCACGACCCGCGTCAACGCGCCTCAGGTCCATTCTCACAGCCCGCGTAAACACGCCTTAGGCCCAATCACACGACCCGCGTAAACACGCCTCAGGTCCATTCTCACAGCCCGCGTAAACACGCCTCAGGCTTAACATCTTCCAATGACCCGCGTAAACACACCTCATGTCTAACTTTACTTTCACAGCCCGCGTAAATACGCCTCAGGCTGGCAGCCCTCCGATCAATCTGGGCTTTGTCCAATGACCCGCGTAAACACGCCTTAGGTCCAACTTTCCTTCCAAGCACACACGCCACAACACAATTCGCCATTCTCACAAGTCGTACAATTCAAATTCAAGTCATGCTCACCACGTGATCTCACCAACCCGACATTCAAGTCGGCCACAATCAAATATCAATTTCACTCACAAACGCCACGACAACCAGCTAATCCATCTCAATTAGCCACTCGATATATATAACAATATAATCCACTACGAGCCACATCCAACTAGCAATTCTACCCCAAGCTCAATCCCTAAACCGGTACTAATTAACCCCAAGACAAGTCTAATAATACCCAATGTACTAGGTAGGGTTTAGGGAGTCACTTACCTAGGTTCCAAGCCAATGGGGACCAAGTAAGGATGGGCAAAATGACCGGTCGGATCGACGTCGGGCTCGGCGCGGCGGTCGGCACAACGGTCGGCCACGGGCAAAATTCTCAACGCCGCCCACGGCCACGGGCTCGGCGCTCGGCACGGTCCTCGACCACGGGCTCGGCACGGTCCTCGGCATGGCCCTCGGCCACGGTAGGGCACGGCGACGGACGACGGGCACAGCGATGGGCACGACGGGCGACGAGCCACGGCTGGGCGAGCGGCCAGGTGAGTAGGCTTTTGGCCACGACCGAGGCAGCGGCTCGGCTGGGCGGACGGGGAAACGGCTAGAGAGCAGCTGGCGCGCGGCTGGGCTGGCGAGCGAGCTGGCCGGCAAGCGAGCTAGGCGGGGAGCGGCCGTCAAGCTGCTGGGCGAGCCGGCAACGACGGCGAAAGCGAGCTGAGCGGCGGAGACGGTGGCTGAGGGGAGTTGGGTTGGTAGTGGTGGGAGCAGCGGCGGCCGGCGCGGTGACTGGGTGGTGCGGCGGGCGCGGCGGCGAGCTGCTGCTCGCACGAGAAGAAGTCGGCCAGGGGGCAAGGGAGCGGCTGGATGGACGACGACAACGACGGCGAAGGGCGGCCGGACATCAGGCCGGACGCACGAGCGCGGAGGTGGAAGCTCGGTGAGGCAAAACAAAGGGAGAGGGAAGTGTGCGGCTGTCGAGGTGGCGGTGGTGCGGCAGGGGTGACTGTGGAGGTCGGGGGCGGCGACGGGCGAGCCGGGGTGGACGACGCGCGGCGGCGGGGCGAGCAGCGGCTGGGCGAAGGGCGGCGTCAGCTGGTTCGAGCAGAAACGGTACCCACGTGCAGCTCGGGTTAGCTGACAAGGGAGACCGAGCGGCGACAGGCAGTGGCACGGCTCGACTAGGGCGGAGCCGGGGTGGCACGATGGTGGGACGACAAACAGCGGCCGCAGGTCTGGTCAGATGGCAGCAAGAAGAAGCAGGAGCCAGAAGCCAGAAGCAGCCACGGTGGGAGGGGGAAGGAGGAAGAAGGAGAAGGAAAGAAGAAGAAAGAAAGAAGAAAAAAAAGAAAAGAAGGAGACAAGAGACGGGATGGCATGTGTGCATGGCAGGGGCATGGGCAGATGGGACGCATGCAAGGGGAACGTGCGGGCAGGTAGGGCGCGCAGAGGAGAGAGAGAGGGAGAGAGAGAGAGAAAGTCTACGGTAATGATCACGATCCAACGGTCCACATTCGAATCCGAAAACGATCTAATGGCTCACAAAAATCCTAATTATAAACTAAGGAAAAACCAACGGACACTAAATAAAATAAACCCAGAGGGAGGTCTACTAGTCAAAATCCGCACCCGGTCCAAATTTTCACTTTCCGACTAATCTGGGTAATTTCGAGGCTGGCCACAATAATATCGACACCGTCCAATTTAATTCGTCGCGAAACTCTGAAAACTTCGACACCAAAGTTCGTGCTCTAAATAACGGCCAAATTCGATCGAATGCGATTCTAGAGAAATCTCAATTTTAAAAACAATAACCGAGAGTGATGAGTTCCCGGGCAAGATTTTATTATAAGCACACTGACGAATTACACATTTTATAAATCCCAAAAATGGGTCGAAATTCGAAATGTCACAGAGATATCTGTGCTGGCATCTTCCGTAGTTGTTCAATTACTTCAAATTCACTCGTCTTCATGACCGAAAGCAACTATTTGACATCTTCTTCACTTACTCCTTTCTTTGCGTGCTCATCTTCTTTCGGGACATTGTATCTTCCTGATCGGGTTATGGCTTCAACTTCTTTAGGAGAGTAATCCCAAGGTACACACTTAGTATCAAACTTTTCTTTTGGAGGGAGAGTGATAATCACAGGCTGTGTTTCTTCTTCTTCGATCCTTAGCTGATCAATGGGAAGTTGGATAGTGATTGGTTTGACAGGCCTTCCTCCTCCTTATATTTATCTACCTCATCAAGCTTGATCAGAAATGTTGTAATCATGGATACCATGCTTCTATTGGCTTCATCAGTACCCATTCCACCCCAGCCATCAGGTGTGATTATTTCATTCTTGAATATCCACAGAGGGGGTGTATGTTTGACACGGTAATTATACCGGCCACTATCTTGACCCAGAAAATCGACAACTTCACCTTGTCTTCGTGCTTTTCGAACAAATCGCCTATCACCTCGGTGAGTCTTTTTCTTCTCTTTCTCTTCCCGGTCCTCATTCTCCTCGAGATTTAGTTGACTGATCGGGACCTCGTCCATTCCACCCCATCCGTCCGGTACAATGTGTTCATTTTTTAACGTCCATGGTGGTGGAGTATATTTGACACGGTAATTGTATTTATCGCTGTCTTGACCGAGTAAGTCTACGGTTTCACCTTCAACGGATGATTTCTGGGTGAAACGCCTTTCACCTTGTTGGACTTTTTCTTTCTCCTTTTCATCCACATCTGTTTCATCTTGGAGCATTTCCTTTTTAGACATGGCTTTCTCCTCAGGACTGATTTCATCATCCATACCACCCCAGCTATCAGCACAATTATTTCATTTTTGAATGCCCATGCCGGTGGGGTATTTTTCACTTGGAAGTTATACCTTCCGGAGTCTTCTCCCAAGTTGTCTACAATCTCGCCTTTTAGGAGCGCTTCTCGACGAAAGAGGGCATCTCCTAATCGAGAAGCTTTAATCTTGACCTCATATTCATCTTCACTGTCAGACTTGATCACTGTTTCTTCATCCTTGATCATGTTTACCGTATTGTGCTCGGGAAGAGGATTTTGATGTACATTTGGCTCGGGCTCTTGGAAGTTCAATATCTTCTTGTCGATGAGCTGTTGAACCTTGTACTTTAGAGTGGGACAATTATCTACATCATGTCCCCTTTGTCCCATGTGATAGGTGTAGGTTTTTGACTCATCGTACCAAGAAAATCTTGCAGGATTGTCTCTCGGTACTTCTTTGGCTAGCGAATGCCTTTCTAGAAGCATTGGTAATAGCTTTGATAAAGGTCGGGACAACGGTGTGTATTGCCTCACGGGCCTTTTATTTGGCTCGAACTGCCTTGGGTTTTTCCAAGCAACATTCGATTGCATTGGAAATGATGCTTGATGAGTACTTGGGCTAGACACCATAGCCATTTCTCGGATGAGCACTTTGTCTTTTTTCCCGGGGTAAGGCCTTCGTGCTGCTGTTTCTTGATC